GGCTGATCGTGTAAGACACCAGCCGAGCCGAGCCGTGCCGAGCCGAGCCGAGTTTTAGTAATTACCCGATGGATGACTGGCTGTCTGTTCCTGTTCTGTCCCGCATATGGCGTACTCCAGAGGTGTGCGTGGTGTGTCTTGGGCTGGTGGAAGGGAGCCCGGGAACTTGCTGGGCGAATGCTCAAGAGCGTTGCCCCAGTTTTCTCACTGTATACTGCATTTCGTATTTCGCAGAAAACAGGCTGTGCATCCCTGGATCGCTGCGATTTGGTTATTTCGCTAAGTCATATTGATGAGTATTTACATTACGTGAGTATTGCAGCTGGGCAGCGGTGCTTGTTGCGTAACGCCGGCACGCACGGATTCCGCCACCAATGGTAACATTTGTTATAATGTACAGTTGAAAATTCATAGTTTTTTTCTTTTTTATGCGTTTTGTGCCATGTAACAGCAGTACAAAACCCATATTGTCACGGGGTTGTCTGTGTGTGTGTGTGTGTGTGTGTCGCACATTTTGTCCCGCACTTTCAACTCGGGAACCACAAAAGCTAGGAAGCTGAAATTTTGGTATAGTCTTCCCCGCCAGCGAGTGACGCGGCAAATTTAAATTCAGCCTCCCCGCACCCGCGGGTAACGCGTACGGCCCCGTGAAAGTTTTTTACGGGTAAATTAATTTCTCGGGGACCACGGAGGCTAGAAGGCTGAATTTTTAGGGTAATGACCCCCTGCCCACGTTCAACCTTGCCCATTTAAATTCAGCGTTTTCGCGCTCTCGGGTATCACCTACAGGCTAGTGAAAGTTTTTACGGGTGATTTAGTACCACGGAAAGATATTCACCCTCCAAGGTTGCGAATTCAGCTTTCATGCGCTGGTGCGTGAAATTTTTAACTGTTCTCCAATGTTTGGAATATTTTTGCATAGACAAAAGTACAAAGCAGTGAAAATCATTAATAGGCAATCGTTCGATGGGTTAAACTGCACAAAACAAATGATCGCACCGGCAAGTCTGATGAGCGTTGCCATTGATTTTTAATTGATTAAGCTAAAAAAGAGAACTTTGATATTACGACTGCTTTGCCTGCAGCCAGTGGACAATTCGAATTAGTGAGTGGTATCCCCAAGAAAGTAAACGATCACTCGGACAACCCCCCAAGGAGGGACGCACATACGTCGAACAGGCTGTGGGTACTAACTGGAGGTATGCAGCCGAAGATCGAAGAGTCTGGCATTAGCTGCGCTCGGCGTATGGAAACATCGTATTAACAACCCTGACAAGGAAAAACAGTAGCGTCTTCCGCACAGTGCCTTGCTGGAGATCTGCTTATGCCACCCACAATGTAACGTTCCATTAGGATAGTGTATGCTAATTTATAAGCAGTAATGAAAATAATATGTAATGGTAAAGAAACATTGTAACTGTGTACAATGAAAAGGCAGAAATAAATAATTGTAAAATAAGGGACAAATAGCAGCGCGCACAGAATATCATGTGTTTAGTGCAATTCCAATGATTACCCGTTAAGGATTTTCACTGTTTTGCACTTTGGTCGGTGCAAAAATAGTTGAAATTTAAAAAAAAATATTTAAAAACTTTACGCATCGGTATGTAAAAGCTGAATCTGAAAAGACGAAGAGTGAATATCTTTCCAAAATTCCAATCTCCTAATTTTCTAGCTTTCAAATGATCTTTGAGACAAAATTTCTACCTGACAATATGCGTTTTATGCAGCTGCTGCACAGCACAGAACGCATAAAAATCGAATTGGAATGTTTCGGTTCATTAAGTTGCATACATTCCAAAACAGTACCAGAATGAGCCATGTCTCGTTTGGTTCACCGTTAGCTTCCTTTGGCAGTCACTTTATTAGAAGGCAGGCATAGAAATTACAAGTTATCTTTTGGATGAACATGTAATAAGCTGTCTCTGTTTGATGATGTTTTACGTTTCGTGGAAAATGAAAGGGATAAAATAGCTATACGAGCTGAGAGAGGGAATTTTCTGTAACGAATTGTATCCTCTTATTTTGGCGTCAAAACTGCACCTTGTCGAGCACCACGGTTGTGTCGACAGCACTTAAAACTGTTTAAAAAGTTTATATGAATAAACTGAATAGAAGCAACAATAGGAGCTTAATGGGAAGACTGAGCGAAGTGTGGCTCTTTTTACGCCGTTACCTTTGTTTTCTTCTCCGACATTTTTTTTTTTGTGTCAAAAGTACTGATAGCTATCCGATCAGAAATGTTAAAACTCAAAAACATATTCTTTTTAGAATGTAAGCATAACGTAATGAAGGCTTTTTTTTAGAGTGCAACGCTACAGCCTTACCTGGAAGCGGTTCGGAAGACGTTGGAAGCAGCGATGTGCTTAGAACAGTTCAGCTCGCAAGTTGTCGAGAGGCATAACAAACCTGAAGTACGTAATCTTCACTTCTTCCTCATTCAGCTTCTTTTTTGGTAATTTCTCTTTAAAGTCCTCAGATTGTAAGGTTAAGAGAGGGCATGAGTGACTGCCACGCTTTATGGTAGACCCTTCGTGGGTGAAGGAAGAACGTGAAGAGAAGGAGAATTGTTGGCCAACTCTCCCGCATGATCAATCTTCAGCATTTTAAACGAGCTGAAAGGAAGCCAGACTTTTTTGGTGATTGACTTCAGGAAGAGAATAACAAGGCAGAGATTTATTTGCAAGTGTTGCTTTTTATGCGTTTTGTGCTGTGTAAAAGCAATACGAAAAGCATTTTGTCACGGGGTTGTCTGTGTGTGTATGTGTATGTGATTGTGTGTGTGTGTCCTACATTTTGTCCCGCACTTTCAACTCGGGAACCACAAAAGCTAGGCGGCTGAAATTTTAGTATTGTTCCCCACCAACGGATGACGCGGCAAATTTAAATTCAGACTTCCTGTGCCCGGGGGTAACGCGTACGGCCCCGTAAAAATTTTTCGGGTGAAATCAGTATGTCAGGAACCACGGAAGATAGGAAGCTAAAATTTTATGGGTATGTCCCCTGTGCACGTGCGACCCAGAAAACTCAAATCCCATCTTCCCGTACTCGCGGATAACACGTGCGGCACCGTAAAATTTTTAGTGGATAAAATCATTATCTCAGGAACCGCTGAAGCTAGGAAGCTGAAATTTTATGGGTATGCCCCTCGACCATTTGCAACCCAGAAAATTTGAATCCAGTTTTCCCATGCGCTTGGGTATCGCGTACGACCCCGTGAAAGTTTTGGCGGAAAATTATCTTGGTAACTATGAAGGCTAGGAGGCTAGAGTTTCAGGACGATGTTTTCTGCCGCTACAGGTATCTCATAAACTCATATTTAGCTCCCAAGTATGCAGTGGCCTTACGTAAGATCGCGTAATAACTATGATGTGAAAGTCGCTAGCTCGAAAACCGGGAAACTACGAGGCTGAAATTTGGAGTGATGTTCCCCATCCATGTTTTCAAATACAGCTTTCACGTACCAACATGTGAAATTTTCTGTGGGAAATTCCTCATTTTAGGGAGCAGACAGCATATCTATCGTTTTTCCACATACGAAAGTGTAAAACAGTTATATATGTAGTAAGCAAACGTCCGCTGGACGGAACTGCGCAAAGCGCATGATCGCACCGGCTACCCTGGTGCGCTTCGCTATTTATTAACTTCAACTGTTGCCACTCAAGTTGTCGAGTGCAAAATCAGTCGCATTCGCGTATTTATGAGCTCAGAAGCTCAACACATGTGCGCATAACCCATCTGGTTGCCTTGTGCGCAACACTATTTTTAGAGTTTGAGGGAAATCCATTTGGCCCCTACCATGTATTTTTTCTTATTTCGAGTATATGTTCATTTTATTGGTGGGCTTTAACTGTTGATTACTTCGATACTTTGATCAGCTGTTGTTCAGAGTCTCATCTCGCCGTTGATTCGGCAGTCACCTTCTCCATTCTTCTCCATTTCGGGTCTCTCTCATCCACACAATTCAGTGAAGTCGTTCAAACTAGTCCTGTCGCGGTGTCGGCAGCTGTTCTATATTCCTTCTTGCGCTGCGTGATCCCAGTTCAATAATCACTGCGTGATTTCTTTACTCATTACAAATTCACTATGTGCAGAGACAGTGATTGTTTTAGTAGCTCTTTGTATCAGCCCTAATTTCAGATCGAAATTGCCGCATCCTCAGAGCTTTTGCTGACGCCCGTTGTTGTATCACGTAGCAAGCAGGAACGCGTACTGATCGAGCCATCAATCAATTCTGTACGCATCAGCATTGCCGTGAAACAGGCGGATGAAATTGAAAAAATTTTGACACACAAATTCACACGATTTATGTGCCAGCGCGCCGACAATTTTATCATTCTTAGAAGGTTTACTCTCTTCCTATTTGATCATCAGCCACCTTTTCCTTCGCTTCACTGCTCCCAGATAAACTACACATTCGGCACAGATAGTTTTTTGACGAAACAGCGTTTCGGAGTGAAGACGATAAAGATTCGAAACGTTTAATTTTAGGAAGCCGATCCCGGGCTACGATATATCATTTTTGATTACGGCAACACATACCGAAATGATGTATAAACACAAATTGGTCGACTTCCTGATTCATTTCATGCAAGAAATCGATAAAGTAAGAATTACTTTTATGGTTTTTTATGTTTACGACTGAGATCGGTACTCTCGTGACAGTGGATTTGGTAGAGAACATCAGTGAATTTGATTTATTTACGCTCAAAGTATGGTAATTACCTTCAATAAGTGAAGTTTGTTGCTCTCCACTTATTATGCGCTTTTTGCTGTGTAACAGCGTTTCAAAACG